ATTAAATGCTGGCATTTAACATTGTGATCATACAGCTACCAATGCTGACGCTATCTGGGCTTAAGAGCTAAGAATTTCTATTTGCACCTACAAAAGATTGGTATGTATTTCACAGTTCCTATTTTAGGGAGTTTATATATCTAAGAATTCTTTTCAACAAATCATGTTACTGCCTCCCATAGTTCTAATATCATACGTTATAGCACCATGAATAATTTATAAAGCATGTTGTTGAGTGACCCTTACCTATGACGTGGTTTACACTGTATTTCAATCTTAATTGGGAAAATCATTTGCACACATTTGTCTTATTTTTGTAAGGAGGTAATGTTTTCAGTCAGAGCTCTAAAGGAACTTTTTCTATAGATGTTCAGAAAGAAACATTTTTAAAATAAAACTCATCAGAAATCATGAATCATTTGTAAATGTTACTGCTGGGGAAAGTCATAGGTCATTGAAAATACAGAACTGGTCAGAAAGCCTATGCATCTTGGTCCTTTTCATGTAAAAAATATTATTAGATCTTTAGATTCACATTTTTTCAACCTAACGATTGTTATGGAGTAGGTTTCCTGTCCTTAGAGCTTAGACATGGTTGAATAACTCAACTGACAAGTTCAGTGTCTACTCAGAGCTCTAGCAAAAAGTTATTTACACAAATTTATATTTAAAACAACATCAAAATAGTTAATGGGAAAAAGCAGAACTCTGTTAACATTCTATATATTCATTCATTAGTTTGTCAGATTCTTTAATTTTGATGAGTTAGGTGAAAATCCCTTTTCAGTGAGTACGAAGTTCAAAGGCATTGTTCAGATCCTCCATTATCACTGACTAAATATGGACAGTGGGAAGGAACAGCCACCCGGGTGACCTATCAGTTGGCAATGTGTACCTATGCCTTGTAATGACAATTGACCTGATCCAGCACCAACATTCATCTTTGCCCCCTACCGTCTCATTTAGGCCTCTTCAACCTTTCCAGCAAACCTTCACAAGGCTGCCTACACTACTAAGCCATCTGTAGGTTTCTGTACTTCCATCTTTGAAATTTCTCTATTATGATGACCTACAGATTATTTTCCTATGTTCTGCTTTTTTTCTTTTTACTACCCTAGTTTTAGCTTCTTACCATTATTCTTTGCTCATTCTCCTTGTTTGCCAGGCCTTGTTAGATTTCAGCACTCCTTCATGTTGGCTACCAGCAGCATTTGCCCTCGAATCCCTCAGTGTGGGACCAGAGACAGTGAGATCTGCCACACACACACACACACACACACACACACACACACACACACACACACCTCATTTTCTCTTTGCCTCTTTCCACAATGGAAGAGAGACTGGACACATAACTTTCTTCATAAAGATATATGGCTCAGAGCAAGAGTGCCCCTCAAAGACCTCATGGGCAGACCTATTGGAAGGTGACTGAATCATGGGGACCATGTAGCTGACTTGCTGGTCACTGGGGTCAGCACATGGAAGGATGTGTCTCTCACTATAGTGATAGCAGCATTTCCATGTTATGCCATCCAGTACGTAATTTCCTAGGTTTCTGGGCATGCTATGCAATCTGTAGGATATATTCTTGGTAAGAAGAATGCCAACAAGAATCAATGAGCCAAAGGAAACAAGCAAAATACACTAAAGGAAAACTTTCTGCTCCATGGTCTGCCAAATATAACTCTCCTAGTAACAGTTTATATAACATTTCAATATATGATATTCAATACAAGATATTTAACAACCTCTGAAATAAAACCATAATCTAGAAGCCACTTAAGCCATAGTCTGGGAATCACTAATTTTCATACAACAAAATTAAGCATTAAAGAAAATCAAGGGTAAGTGAAACAAAATCTTTGCCAGCAATTGCGGATAACTTTTCAAGAGATCAAAACTGTTGGCAATCATAACAGTTTTGAAAAATATCGTCAGTAATCATTACCATTTTAAAACATTGGGATTGTTTCTCTTCCTTTTTCTTTCATTCAAAAACTTACTTTGTTACCTATGATATGTTAGGAATGGTCAAAAACACATGCTAAATATTTAAGGATCTGGGCAAATAAACACAGTAAACATATATTTACTTGTTAAGATGATTTCAGATGAGAAAATAATTGTTACTTATATATGTATATCAAATTAACTTTTATCCCTTCAAGGAAAATTAAATCATGTCAATTAGAATTTAAAAATTCAAGTTATACTTTATTAGAAAATTTGATATTTTCAAAAGATTTCTAAATATTTAAATTTAATTAAATCTAAATAATGTCTTTCAGCAGTTTTCATTATAAGGAAATTGAATTTAATTCAAGCACTATTTCTCTAAGTGATTTTTGTATGTTGGCCATTAAATACTTAATCTATAAATTACGGCACCATTAATCACAAATGAATTATATGATTAGATATAAGGTCCTAAAATTTTTGGAACCTATTTTGAAAGACTTCTCTTATTTACTTCATTAACTTATTTTGTATTTTTAGAATAAAAGATCATTATTTTAAACAAAACATAGAATTTGACTTGAGATCTCATTATAACATACGAATTATTGGAGAAGCACTCACCTATTAGAAGAAGGGATATGCAGATACATAGTCCACATAGTGTGTATATGATCTTTGAAAGATTTATGCTCAAGATATTTGCTAAGATCTTTTTTATATTGAAAAGTATTAGTCAAGAAAATATTTTATAATTTCAGTCAAATTGAAATATGTTCTTTTTTATAATATATTATCTAAATGGTTCAGTTCAGATTGACAACTAATAGTAGGTGAAATAAATAGGTTCACATATTTACAGGAAAGAATTAGCATATGCTATGCAATAGAAAATATACTGATGATACTGAATTGTAAAGCTTATTTCTTAAAATAAAATTTACCAAATATGATAATAAAGGAGATGTATGGGCACCACTGTTGTGACATCTTCAATGATATCTTTCTATCTAATATCTAATTTTTAGGAATAAAAATTCATTTAATGAGTTTTCAATTTGTGAATATAAGAAATTGTAACTGAAATTTGAGGGTGGATTATAACCTCAAAATGTTTGTTTTGCTTGTTTATTGTTTTTTACATGGGAAAAAAGAACATCTATTGTTCTCATTCATTTTATAAATGGAATTCCTTCTCCTTGATGTTCTTAAAATATTGCCAGTTTCAATTTATTGAAAGAGAATTTCTTGTATTCTGATAACTTTTAAGCCCCAAGAGAAAGGATTTAACTATAAAACTGTTCCGTAATGTCTATTTTGAATCATGTTATTTTGCTACATTTATATCACTAAATGAAAGACACAACTGAATATATGTATATATATATATATATATATATATATATATATTTGCAGGTGAGAAGATATATATATATATATATATGTTAAGAAATGCCTAAATTGACAAGTTACTGTGGACAAAAAAAAATGTTTGGAATTTTGTTATATGGATTGTCAATAGATACTGTGGTAGTTACCTTGCCTCTTCAATATACAAGTCGATGTGTATCATTTATAGTCTGTACAGTCTGATACGTAGATTTAAAATGAAAGGTTACTGGCAAGAAGCCACTATAGTAAGTCTGTACCACTGTCATAACCCTTTGATTACTCATAAAGACAACATTGTGGCTCAATTAGATATTATTTTAAGATATTCTAAAGCATTAACTCATTTGCCTGTGAAGGTAATAATTGCACCTGAAATGTCATCACAGAGACTTTTAAAAGAGAAGTTGATGGGAAATTGTTAAATGTATGGTATGTGATGTTTGGTATAAATTTCTTCTTCTTCTTTTTTTTTTTTTTTTTTTTTTCTGAGACACAGTATTGCTGTGTACTCCACGCTAGCCTCAAACTCATGCAATCTTTTTGACTCAGCCTCTAATTGCTGGTATTTTCAGGTTCACCTCCACACCTGACTAATCTTCATTTTCTATCCCACAATTTCTATAATTCTTGGAATCCCTAGAGTGAGAGGAGTGTCTTTGTTTACAGTAATGAGATGGTTGATTACCTCTGCCAGCAAAAAAACCCTTCAGCATTGGTACTGGTTACTGGAAAAATCAAGGCATGTTTAGGAGATTGGGACTTCTAATCCAACTCCCAAACCTCTGTGGAAGGAAAAGCACCAGAAAGCAGATTATCAGTGGCCAATTATGTAATCAATCAGTACTATAAAATGATGTGTCACGAAATTCTAGAGAACAGAGTTTTTAAAACTTCAGGACAGCTAAATGCCTGGAGGTGATGGCCCAGAAGTGGCATGAAAGGTTTTTATGCTTCTAGTGCACGTTTTCCACTCATTGTTTATCTGTATTCTTTGTAACATCTTTCATAATAAATAAATAAACATGAAAAATTGCTTTCTGAGTTCTGTGAGTTGATTTGACAAACCAGTGGTACTCCCTCCGGAAGCTGTCATGGGAACTCTGATACACAGCATTCATTCAAAAGCACAGGTCAAACATCAACTTGGCTTCTGAAGTGGGGGCTGTCTGGCAGGGATGGAGCCTTTAAACAGTGGTAAGTGATGCTATTTTTAGGTAGATAAAGGTAGCACTGAATTAAATTAGAGGACAGCTAGCTGGTGTCTACTGGAGAATTAACCAGAGAACTGTTTGGTGGGTGGGCTTGTGAAAAAAGTCCACATATTTTGGTGACCCTGTATAATATGTCTGATGTTGTGTGATAGAAGGAAAGTCATCTTGGTTTGATTTTGCTATACATGTAGTTATGTTAATTCAAGCAAAGTTGCAGAGCATGTTTTCCCACATATAACTTCAGGAATTATATGTTTTTTCTTCAACTAATAGTTTCTTCCCAGAGTCAGGATAAAATATTGATAAAAGGTATCAACTATTTTCTAATCTTAGCAGTAATAAGGGTAAGTATATATTTTGGCTAAATCACAAAAGCAATCCAAGGCCATTTCAAATGGACAGTTAGTTTTCCTGCTGTAGGCAGGAATTTGGACTTACCCCTGTCCGTGTCGTACAGGAAGACAAAACAGTTCCATTCATAGTGGTCCAGCAGACTTAGGAGGGCTCCTCGTAATGAAGGCCTTAGCTGCAGCACAAATTGGCTCTCCCCCTCTGTAGGGAAGCTTGGTGTGATAAGGGAGATGTGTAAGGCGCTGCAGAACGAGGTCAAAGTGTGTACTGACCTCTTATCATAGAGTCCAAAAATGGCAAATACTCCTCTGGAGTACTGGGAACAGACTGAAATGCAAAACAGAAAAAAGAAACCATTAGCACAGCTGAAAATTCTTGACCTGGGAATCTTTATCCTGTAAAATAAAAGAAATTTGAATTACTGATACTACCTATGTAATATAAGAAGTTAAATATACAATTAATTGTACAATCACATTTTTGAGTTTGTACTCAAAGTCATGCATTGACTGAAGCTGATCAGTAAAAATTAAGATGGTATTTTCAATTAAATGAAAATTAGAATAAAATTAAGTAATATTCTCCATATGATGTGGGGAATCCCATGCTAGAGACCTTCATAGGTGATAAATCTAAATTTTATATGATTATCTTCTCACCTGCAAAAATTACGATGATATACTTTTGAATTTTTGAGTGTTAATGCTCTAAATTGCTTTCTTTATAAGCTATATGCTATCTTCTCTATTTTTTGGCCATTATGAGACATAAAGCATAATAGGATTTATTAAGTATTTATAAAAGAAAAATATCCAACTCAAATTCTATGTACCTCCCAGAAACACAGCTGATCGCTTCAGCAGACTGGCTGGTTCCGAAGGCTTGTTCTGACAGTGGATTTAGACAATGGCAGTGGATTTAGACTCCTTTTTTGTAAAATTTAAGGAATATTATAATTTAACCATTATCTTGAACTTTAATTCAGTTCAATTCTTATACTAGTCAATTACATGAATTTACTATTGCATTTGTTAATCTAGTAAACCAAGTAGATGAATTCGACCCTCACCTCATGAACGTTACCCTATGGCTTTGGGGGTATTTGTATCAATTCTTTACTTTTAGGCTGATATTGCTTTGGTCCTTTGTGTTTTCTTTTTTTCTTGTTTTCTGGGTTTTCATGCAAATTGTGATCCTGTTCTCAAACTTTACATGGCAAATAATCTCAGTCAACCCCTCTTTTTGCTTTGTGGTGGTACGTTGTGGATGTAGGACTTGGCATGTGCTAAGCAGGTGTCCTATCACAGAGCCACAAACGGATGCATTTTTATTATACTGGAAAAAAGAGTCAAAGGGCTTCAGAATGCAAATCCTAGCTTCCAGTTTTTAGTTTGGTGCCAAAACTACACAAAATTTTAATATTTGTTTTAGAAAAAGTAAGCAAATAAGATTTACAAATTAGATACTTTAACTTGTTCATCTATATTGTTCAATTTACACAGTCTTACTGTTATGGCACATTAAGACCATATTATTTTCACGTTTTAGTTTCCACTGTTTTTCTAGGAATCCAAGGAGTACTCCAGGAAGACTCGTGCAGTTTTACATGGGAAATATTGGTGAGATAACATTAGGTGGGCAACACTGGACCACTTTTTCTGCTACCCTTTCTACTTAAAAAAAAAAAAAAAATCCCAAAGCATTCCTGCTTCTATCCATTTCAGAGATTGAGCCACTATCTGTGTAAAGCTTTACATGTAAAAAGTATTAATTACTAAACAACTGATATGGTAAATCTAGAATCCCGTGAAATGTCTCATGCATACATAGGTGGAGCTTTTGGAATATGACTGAATTATGCGATTGCTATAGTTGAGTCGCTTTGGGGAGATGGTGTCACCGTAGAGGAGGCAGGTGACGGAGGTTTAAGTGTGTGACCTGGAAGGGTATAGCTTCCTCCTAGCTCCTCCCCTCACTCTCTGATTCCGAGCCTCCATGACATGAATGACTTTTTTCTGCCTAACCTTTCCACTGTGTCTTCCTGATTTGGATTTGCTCAGCTTTGGGTAAAGGCATGAGCCTTTTAAGCAGTTGAGTTTCAGGTGTTCTGTGCTAGTGAGGAGAAGGTGACTAGTACTTAATATTGAAAAACAACAAATGTGCTACATAAAAAGTCGTTCTACTGCGTGTTTTTATTGTATAATTTTCATTATGACTTCCTCCCTATTCCAGTGCTTACTAAGGTATTTAGCTCATTTCAGTTTATTCTAGTGAGTCTCAACAAATTCCATTTAATTTTTTTCTGATATTTAATCATCTTCAATATGATACATCTTCTATTTATGCATTTTCATTTGTATCAACATACATACGTATTTTGCAACTTTTATATTTATTGGAAACTCTACCTGCATTCCTACATTATTACTGTGAAATTACACATCTCAGACTAATTAACATTGTTCCCAGTTGTAATCTGTCACTAACATTTTGTACTTTGTTTGCAGATTTCCACATGTGGTAATATTCCTGCAGTTTTTCTCTAACTTAGATACTAATCGGGGCAGGTGAGGAGTACTAGGTTTTCTTTGTATGAGAAAAGTTGTTAGCCAAATAGTCAATGTTATTGCCTTGCTGTGATACTTTGAACAACATTTTATTTACTTAGTATATTTAAATTTAAGAGTATAACTATTTTCCTACTTATTATAATCTAGCTTTTGAAGACCTCTTAAATCAAAATTTTGCTTGGCTATTTTTTATGGCAACTATTGTTGCTTAGCATACAAATAATTATTCAAACAATGGAATTTATTAGACCATAGAAATTATACATAAATCAGTGATGGTAAAATAAACTGAATATAAGTGTGTTCAGGTTATATAAACAGGAAAAGAAACAACTTCATTGCTGTCATGTATAAAATGGCAAAATAAGCAAGAATTAGTGCTTAGTCACTGAGAAGATGCAATGATATTAGATTGATATTTATTTTGGGATACAAACAGTAATCAGGAAAAAACCATTCATTGAAATAATCCAATCATAATTTTAAGTACATGTTCTATATTTTGCTTCTCTAATGAGATCAGTTGGATCATGTATTATGTAAATAAACACATAATATCAACACATGGTAATAAACTATTCATCGTTTAACAGATCATATCAATTAATTAAATATGGCTTCTCATCAGGTAATCACTCAGCTTCATTCCAGTGCTGAAAAGAGTTATGTAATTTATGATGATTTGTAGTCCTGTCTCACATGCAAATCAAGTGACATTTTCTTAGCTCGGTGTTTCTCAAGCTGTGAGAAACTTTCTAATCCAGGAGATGTGCTGAATTTGACATGACCACTGCAGTGTGGTCCAAAGGAATTGGGACTACTTGTCCACCTACCGCCCTCCTCTTTCTCCTTTACTGTACTTCCAATTCTCCTCCTCTTAGTGCCTGGGATACCGGGGATCGAACTCACGATTTCCTGCTCGCTAGGCAGGTGCTTATGCCACTAAATCCCTGTCTCTAACTGCTTTATTAGCTCCACTCTTCCATTTTTTAAAGCAAAGAACTCATTTAACCCCATGTTTCCTCCATCTCTCACTACCTGCTCACAGTTCTCTTACGGAGGGAATTGTCTATTCACAAACTTCCTACTTGGTCCTATACTTTTGCATCACTCAAACCATTTTCATCAACTTTATTAACGACCAACTACATTGCAATTCCTAGATTTTGCTCCTGTCTTGCAGGTATCCTGTTGTGTTTGACTTTTTTTTGACTCTTTGAAAGGTTTCCCTACTTTGTGTTCTAGCAGCTATCTGTGTTCTTCAGTCTCTGAGGATGTATTGTCTACTCTTATAGTTAGTGTACCTCAATATTTTTTCTCTCCTTAGCTCTTCACTCTATGGATACTTCATAGATGAGCTTCTGTAAATTAGTGATTTTAATTATAGTCTGTTTTCTCAGGGCTCCCCAAATTGTACCATGAAATTCACATACTTTCCTTTAACTTTGGATTCACGTGTCCAGTTGTCTTTCACAACCTGTGTCATACTGACCTTTGTGAAAATGGCTGGAATAATATCATCTTTATCCTGTCGGATGCCATAGTGCTTTTTCCTCCCTGTTCCTAACTGAAGTCAGTCATCTGTCTTCTCACTGACCCTGAGTGACTTCCTTGACTATTAAATTGTAATAGAATGAGTACATATGACCCTTTGGTGTGAGATTGTCTCTTCCTGTGGATATATGACCTGTGTGTCCAACTGCCGCCAGACTGAGAGCAAGCCTGGGCTGTACGAAGAAATCCAAATAGAAAGAAAGGAACAAAAACACATGTGACTCAGCCACAGCTGACAGCCGGACTGAACCGCAGAATGAGTGAATAATATTAGATAAGGACACTCTGGTCCTCAGTTAAAATACTCTGATAATGTTTCACCAAATAGTGATTAAATCTTGTCCCAAATATAAAATCATGGACAAAATTTTAAAAAAATCGATCCTATTTTAAGTCATTAAGATCAAAGTGGTTTGCTGTGGAACAATATGTAATAAAAATATCTATATGAACTGTTTTTTTTTAAGTGTACCTATATAATAAACATTCAGTAAATATTTTTAGTCAAAATAGTTAATGAGTATTGTTTTAAATATGTACAAATTAATACTTGTCCATATCTTTTCCAAGAGTCCATCATCAACTGTTCTTAACTCTCCTTTCCCCTTATAATACAGAATTCTACATACTATGTTTTTTTTTTTTTTTGTGTGTGTGTGTGTCTTTTTCATTTTTATTGGTACCAGGGATTGACTGCCTGCTTGCAAGGCAGGTGCTTATGCCGCTGAGCTAAATCCCCAGGCCCAGAATTCTATATACTATGTTTATTGGTTCAGTTGTTCCTCTTAAATTTTATAGTCATACTTGAAATAAATTCTTAATTTAATGAGTATCTCTACATTTTTTTGAGTAATGCAGACATGTGTAACCATATTGACCTCAGACATCACCCTTTTGTCATATATATTTTTGTTTCGCAGAATTATAGCTTTACCTGTGTTTAATACTTTTAAATACCTCATATCCTTTCAAATATATTTATTATCTGCAATGCATGTTAACATAACATTATTTTGTATGTATTTCACTTTTTTTCATGGTTGATTACCAACATATACTTTGTAATTTCAAATTATGAGTTCATTTTTTGAGTTTATTGGTGCATTTTAGATACATAATGATCACACTCATCAAAGGGAACTTATATCTGTGTATGATACATATTGTTCCTCTTTTTCTCCCATTCTCCTCCCCTACCTTCAA